TATGTGAATATACATAGTTCCTTATTTTAGTGGAAAATGGTAATTATATTCACATCACATTTTTTAATATATATACACCGTCTTTTAATTACATTAAAGATCATTAATATTTATTCATTATCACACTTATATTCTTGCATCTTTCTTCATCACTTTCCTTTTTTAAACTTTTCATTGATCAGAAAATATTGTGATTAATCATGATTTTCATTCAAAAATATTGTTAATGTACTTTAAAATAAGAAACAATTATTTAATAGAAATTTTGCATTATTATTTGTTTTGCTTATTTAAAAAAATAATAAACAAATAAAACTTCTTACTCTATTCAAAACGTGCATAGTTACAATTGAGTTGTTGGGTCACCAACCCCAATTTCAAATTGTCCAACTACAATCGTTATTTGTGTGTGTAATTGGTCACGCAACTCTCCTTTATCATTCATTGGTAATTATATACTTACTAGTCTTTGACACGTGCGTTGCACGAGTTTTGTATTTATTGTATTTTTATTAGAGCCAAAATTGTAGATTTTTTACTTATAAGTAATTTCTTACATTTTACAAATATTTTTTGTCTGCATTTTTATTTGTTAATAATTTCTTACATAAAAGTTATTGTTGGAAATAAAATAGTGATAGCAAAAAATATCATCAAATAAAAATATTGCTAATAAACAAATTCAAAGAAAAAAATTTGTCTCCATACTTGGAAGTTTTAATCCTCCATAATACGGAGGCTTGATCTCTCCATAATAAGAGACTTGATCTCTCATAACAAGCCTCCGTATCACAGAGGATTTTCATCCGTGATATGGAGGCTTGATCTCATGGAAAGATCAAGTCTCCATAATAAATATGGAGAGATTCTTTTTATATATATTTTTTATTTAAATGATATTTTTATTTATAGATCATCTATTTAACATATAAGTTAATATTTAATTTTAAAAATTAAATATATTTAAATATTTACTACAAATTTTTAAGTTAATATATTGTTAAGTTACAAGTAATTTTTACAATTATAAGTTTTTTTTTTTTTTTTTACTTTTAAATAACTTTAAGCAAATTTTTTTTTACATATGTTTATGGAATTCACACTTTTGTTCTTGAATTAACTCCCTCAATTAATTATTATTTAAACGGTTCGTAAACATTTTGATTGATATTATCTTTTAATCATCCAAATGGTTACTATATACCTTTTATGTACATATATAAAAATAATGTTTTTATCTATTAACAAATGAATATTTTTATTTTTCGAGAAATGAGTTTTTATTATCATTTCATTTTTATCATGAAATGATTCTAAACTTAATATGTTAGATTGTGCTTCAAAATTACATAATCTATCAAATATAATTTTTAAAATTAATTTTTATAAAGTGATATGTTTTTTTTTTATGGATTTTTCAGCAGTTTCAAAAAAAAAAAACAGTTACTGTTTACACCCGAAATTTCTTTTTATTTACTTATTTATTTATCGTTTTCCGCAGTTCCAAAAAAAGTGAAAAAAAATGAAAAAAAAAAGAAAAAAGAAAAGAAAAAAAAAGAGAGAAAAAAACGTCTTTTCTATTATTTACAGGTACATCTTTTATTCTGATTGACCTGGCTTGACTACTTCGACGAACGAAAGGAAAGTTCTTGCTTTTATTTATTGTTGGTTTATATTACTGTTTCATTCTGAAATTGCATCAATTAAATTTTTGTGCTGCTGCTGATCTATTTTTATCTAAACTCACGTAATTGGATCCTTTGACCTCGTTAAATCTCATTTTAACCTGCTTATTTTACGTGATTAGGTTTTGACTAGTATTTGACTATTGCTTTATTATTTTACATATACCAGCAGTACTAGCTTGTTGTATATAATTTTAGTCCCAAAATTTAAATTTAAAAATAATGATAATAATAATAATAAATAGCTCAAATTTTCATTTTTCATTACTTGCACTTTTTGTTTGTTGATCTCTCTATTGCATGTCATTAAGTTGCTATTACAGTGCAAGTAGTTACATATTGGTCATCTTGTCACTTCTAGCTCTGATACCTTAAACATGAACCCCTCACAATTCGATGCACTCACCCAACAAATAGCGGCTATTCAAACTCAAATGACCGCTACTCTTGAAGAGAGTAAGGCCCTATCTGTTAGTTTGAAAAATTTTAAACACATCCTTCATTCGATTGATGTTGATAATTCTAAGGTGTCCCATAATAGACAACATCGTCGACAAGGTAAGCAAAAATACTTTCGACCCGATCGTAAGGATAGGGATAGGAATAGGGATCAGATTCGTGAGCGAAAACGAGATAATTTTGAAATTCTTACGCAATGGAATGCCCTTAAACAAGGAAATCAATTAGTGACTGAGTATATCGCGCAATTTGAGGAATTTCGAACTAAATGTCATTTAATTGAGGATGAGAGCACGACTTTGAGTAGGTTTAGCCAAGGTTTGAGAAATGATCTTAAGCGCGAGCTGTTCATTTAAAGTGTCACTATTCTTGAGCACGCTTACTCTTTAGCTCGAGATTATGAGTTGATTATTAGTACTCCATATGAAAAGCGTAGTCATCGTCGCTCACCCATCTCATTAGCGTCGCCTCATCATAAGTCTATCATAAAACCGTCTCCGTCTAATATTCCTCCTATTTGGAAAAATAATTGTAAAGGTCGTGATAGTCCAAGATCTTCTTTTCCATGTAGAAAGCATATTGACAACCATCCTTCGGTGTCATTGGCTCCAATTCCTCCCGTTAAGTCCCTTCTAGGACCTCCCCCTTCTAATGGTTCTCCAATCTTGAAAAATCAGGGTAGAATTTCTGAAACTCCAAGGTCTTCTTCTCACTTGTTGTGCGTCAACTGTAAAGACTTTGGTTACATTTCTTCTAAATGTCCTAATCGAACCTTAGTCATGAAAGAACGAAAGATTGTACTAGAGGAGCTGTTAGAAGATCTAGTTTATGAACCTAAACTTGAAGATTTTGATGACTTGGATGATAGTGAGGACACTTCCTTAGGTGGAATCCAGACTCTTCTCGAGACTTTGGATACTATATCCCTTATCTCTGACAATTCTCGATCACATGTTATATGTCATACCCTTACCCAAGTTAAAGAGCTTGATGATGTCACCAGTCACCCTTGGAAAATCCATTCGCCTGTGGTTAACACTAAGGCAAAATTATCCACCACTGACCAACTTCAAATTGATGGTCAAAACAAAAGTGCTAACCAAAATCCTGACAATTTATTACAGTCTCTAATCCAGAAAAATCTTGGGAATTGGGACTTGATCCCTCCAATTGTTCAAATTGCATATAACAATCCTGTGCACTGGTATTTAGGTCTAAAACCCTTTGAAATTATTCTTGGTTGTGAACCTTTGAAACCTCTAGACCTTATTCTCATGCACCCACATGCTTGTGTGTCTATGTCAGTTGAGGTAGTTGTATCACATTTTCATAGCTCGCATATTGAGATCAATAAACAATTTGAAGCAAGCAAAGCATTATATAAACCTCAAGTTGATTGGCATAAACAATACTTTGAATTTAATATTGGGGATTATGTTATATTGCAAGCGTGTAATGCTGATTTTTTTAAAATTTCAAAGCATGTTGGTCAAAATGCCTATGTCAATGACCTTTTATCACATTATGATCACCACCCTATTTTATTTGTTACGGACTTCGATGCTTACAACGGTTATTTTAGCCCCTCTGATGACCCGTTTCTACTCCCACATGAGAATTCCCACACTGAATCTTTTGTCATGTCTGCTTCAATCCCACCTATCACAGCACACAAAAATAAAATTGATGTTATTTTGGATGAACAGCTTGTGTTGACCAATAATAGAGAGATTCAATGCTTTCTTGTTCGTTAGATGGATCGACTTGATTCTGACGGTACATGGATTCCCAAAGAGAGACTTCAGCGGCGTGAGCCAAATTTATTGGAGCTTTATAAGAGTCAGCAAAATTCTCACTCGCCTAAGTTATCTTGGTCAGCTCATGTTTTTGTGGGTAATTTGCAATTGGCATCGTCATCATTTGTGGAATTTCGATATTTGGTTCGTCAGAAAGATTGTCCCCCATGACATGACTTGGAGCCTTTAGCATCAGATTTATTGCAACATTTTGATTTATCCACTCGACGGGGTCGAGTTTTTCTCCCACTCCGGGAGAGTTGATGCGGACATCCATTTACTATTTATTTTCTTCCATTTACTATTTATTTTCTTTCTGGACTATTAGTTATATTCTATTTGGATTATTATTTATATTTCTGTTATTGGGCTTGTTTAGTGGGTTTGGCTCAAGCTCTTCTCTTTAGGGTTTGTGTTCTGCTATTTATTTCTGTTTTGTTTATCATTTGAGACAGTTGATGAATTGATGAATTAAAGAATAGAATACTTGGGTTGTTGCATATGGCTTCCTCCTTCTCCTCTTTTCCTTGATTTCTACTTCTTCTCTGGTTTTCTCCCCCCTTTCTCTCCGGCCCTTTCCCCCTTCTTGCTGCCTTCTTCTTCTTCTCGCTGGAATTCTACTTGCTAGTTGTGCTATTTTGCTATTTCTAATTATTCTGCAGGAATCATCCCTCATCCTGCATCAAAGTGGAATTTTGTAAGTCTATTTTTTCTGGTATCTAATGGATATTATAGATCGAAACCTATTGGTTCATTGTTTTGTTGAACTGCTCTTAACTTCTCTCCTTTTCAATTCTTACCCTTTTCCTTTTAGAGTTTTCTTAATATTTCAATTAAGAAAATATAATTTCACTGGAATTTTGCTTCAAATCTATTTACTGATATTCAGTGTATTATATTAAAGAAAATCTTAGGAACTTCTGTTTCTTCAAAAATAATGTTTGTTCCATTTATTTGTAGTCATCGTTTGTCATGGCACGCAAATGCCAATTCCGAATATTTTAGTCTCATATATAAAAGATACAATAGCACGATCAGCAGTTCTCCACGTCTTATTTAACAAGCACTATCTATACCGCAGGAAGTTCCTCCTGATAATGAATTTGAAAAGCGCATAAGGCCAGAGGTTATTCCTGCAAATGAGATTGGAGTGACATTTGCTGATATTGGTTCCTTAGATGAGATTAAAGAATCACTTCAGGAGCTGGTCATGCTTCCTCTTAGAAGACCAGACCTCTTCAATAGTTCAATGGCGGGCTTCTAAAGCCATGCAAAGGCATACTACTCTTTGGTCCTCCAGGCACTGGAAAAACAATGCTAGCAAAGGCCATTGCCAATGAGGCTGGAGCAAGCTTTATAAATGTCTCAATGTCAACGATTACTTCAAAATGGTTTGGTGAAGATGAAAAGAATGTCCGAGCTCTTTTCACCCTTGCGGCAAAGGTTGCTCCTACTATCATTTTTGTGGATGAGGTTGATAGTATGCTTGGACAGCGGACAAGAGCAGGAGAGCATGAGGTGATGCGGAAAATTAAAAACAAGCTTATGACACATTGGGATGGGCTGTTGATGAAACCTGGGGAGCGCATTCTTGTTCTTGCAGCGACCAATAGGCCTTTTGACCTTGATGAAGCAATCATTAGGCGGTTTGAACGCAGGTATATTCAAACTCGTATCTTCCTAATTAAAGTATGTTCTCGACTTCAGTCAGAAAATGCAGTCCTTGGCTGTGTCACATCCTGAATTTCCTTGAGTTTCACCATCAATGTCTTCAGATTGTACGTCACTGTGGAATTTGACTAGAAATTTTCAAAGCAAACATCTAAAGGAAGTGAGCAAAACTGTTTCATGCTCATGCATTATGCTTATCTTACCGATTTGTTTTTACTGGCAAACAGACTCATGGTTGGTCTACCTACTGCAGAGAGCAGAGAAATGATCTTTAGAACCCTTCTGTGTAAAGAAAAAGTCGAAGACCTAGATTTCAAGGAGCTTGCAACCATGACTGAAGGATATAGCGGAAGCGATCTCAAGGTTTGTGTTTTTACACGAGATTCTTAAATTTTTAATCTGGCATCGACTCTTGGCACTAAATATTGGGTGCCAGAATTTGTGTGCAACAGCGGCTTATCGACCAGTTAGAGAGCTGATACAACAAGAAAGACAGAAGGATATGGTAAATTCTTACAGTCAACAAGAGAGAAATTTATTTGTCGTGAGATGTCTGGATATCTGTTTTCAAACTATTTTGTCTTTATAGGAAAAGAAGCAAAAAGACGAGGAAGGGCAGAGCTTCCGAGATGATTCTGCCTCAAAAGAAGAAACTAAAGAGGAAAGGGTAATTACTCTTAGGCCCTTAAACATGGAGGACATGAGGCAGGCAAAGAACCAGGTAATGTGATTCTGTTTACTCTCTGCCCTGGGCCCTGTTATATTCACCATTGCTGGTTTACCAACTTCCTGTGAACAATTTCTCTTCCAAAGCATCACCTTTGACTTGTAGGTCTCTTGGAATTCTTATTTATTGTTAAGAGCTTGTTTTGTACAAGTGCTGGACGTTATTTTAGCTTTTCTTTCTTCCATAATGCTGTTGAGTTCACCTTACCAAACATGCCATAACTAATTAAATCTTACAATGATGTGGAGGACTTCATGCTTACAATACATTTACTTGGGAATGGTCTGCAAACAGTGAAGGTTTAAAGCATACAATGGCTAATTACCTAACCTGAGACTGGATTAAAAATTTTGAAATTCAAGATCCAGGGAGAACAGTGTCTCTATTATACAGACATCAGAAATTTACTTCCCAAAATTCTTAAGAATATGTCTTGGTTCTGCAGGTTTCTGCCAGTTTCGCTTCTGACGGGTCCGTGATGAGCGAATTGGAGCAATAGAATAATCTATATGGAGAAGGAGGTTCAAGAAAGAAACAGCAGTTGTCTTACTTCCTGTAGAGACTGTCATCAGCACTATTCTTCGAAAAATCTACTGCAAAGCTCGGGCAAGAAACCCACATTTTGGGACAGCATGACCAGTTGCCTTTGGTTTGGTTTTGGTCTTCCCAAGGAAGAATCCTCTCCATTCCCTCCATACCTTGCATCAGTTGGCAAGATATGATTGCATTGAAGATTATGAGATTACAAGATTATTGTTTGGACAAACTTGTACCCCCACCCTGCAGATTGTTACTATTCTACGTCCATTGTTTCAGAAAACAATTGAAATGTGTTTATTTAACATTGTGTTTCCAATCCATATTAAAAATCCATTTCGTCAATTGACGTGTAAAATTTAAGAATCAATAGTAGTCTAATCATTCTTTGCACTAGTTTGATATTATGAACAAAAATAAAAGGATTATATGATTCAACAGACAGACATAATGTAAATTCCATTCTGCTATAATTTGCGCCCAGTATAGTTCTCAATTAACATGGGAGAGGTGTCTCGACCAAGACGATCAAGTTAAATAATGTTAATGGTAGGAGTTTGCGTAGAATGAACAAATTCTCCATTTAATACACGGCTATTTATGAGAACATTAGTAAATGTGGTTGTCACTTTCCTGCACACTAGAAGTTCTTTTTTTGTTTAGCTATATTTAGTCTCCATTTTCTAAAATTCATTTTTTTCATACTTACTTTCAAATCACACGTTCTCTTAATAAAATATTTTCGGTGATACAGACATTTTCCAACATATCCCGATCATAATAACCCCGAGCCCTTCGGTGGACCCTCGTCACGATTTGAACCTCGCATATGCTCGGGATACTAAAGAATCCTCGGGATAAACCCTATTCCCGATCACATTTATCCGACTAAGGATCCCAAAACACATGGATATCCTCGGGGATACACCTCGAGCAAATCCCCTTGAGCATCTTGACTACCATCCCGTTCATGCTAAGGAGAGACCAATCTCCTAAGAACTCTAATTTGACACAAATGCTTCAACCCATATCTCCTAAACTCAAGACAGATCTCCTGGAGATATTAATTGGTCTTTTAATCATAGTAGAATTCTAACACTGCTTTCTTATAGAACTCTATTGGATAAGACCATCTAACTAGTTGAATCCTACCAGGAAAGCACCACATACTTTATAAATACTTTTCCCTGGACCATTGTACAGGTACGTTTTCATTATTTCCAGTTTATAGTCTCACGCATATATTTCCCTTTCTGACTTAAGTATCGAAGGGGCGGCGAGAATATACCTCGTTGTCTTTGTTTCAGGTATCGAAAGACTACGATCGTGCTCATTCGAAGTCCTCAAATTTAGGAAAATCAACAGGTACGATTTTTGATAGCATCATTGGCACCGTCTGTGGAAAACGCTACCAAAATCCATGGTTAACACGTGATCAGTTCTTCCTCCCGCGAGCTTATCCGCTCCCATCCCTCATCTTACTGAAGATCAATCGGCTCCACAAGAAGAGTCGTCAGGAGTGCCCGCACCCCAACTAGTAGTCGCCACAACTGAAGCCTTCGAAGAGCTACGTCAGCAGGTGGCCACGCTAATACAGCCGTTAAGTCAAAGAAATTCGCATCCATTACCAATACAGGCAGGGCATGGTGGTTTTATGACTGATGCTTGAGCCCGACCACCAAACCCCGCAATTGGCGGAGTAGGGACCTCGAGTATTCATAATATGGCCTGAGGCTCGAGATCGATTGCTATGAATTCGGGTGAGATTGCCCATATCATTCAAGAAAGAATTACAGCTGGCCTGCAACGGAATGCTCGGGGGCCAACGAGTTTTGCCCCCAACACTTCATTTATGCCAGAGATATTGTCATATCCCCTACCCGACAGATTCAAATATCCTCGCATTAAAGAATATGATGGGACAACCGATCTAATCAACCATCTCAATGTATATACCGATGTCATGAATTTGCAGGTTGCGCCGGAACAAGTCATGTGCAAAGCCTTCCCGCAAACGTTGACTAATGCTGCTAGGGATTGGTTCTCAACATTGGAGCCTAATTCCATAGCCTCATTCTCAGATTTGGCCGACAAGTTCTCAGCCTTCTTTGCAAGTAGCAAACGTATCAGAAAGACTGTGGCCTCTCATGCAACTTCGCCAGAATGAAACCCTATGAGGTTTTATGACGAGGTTTAACAAAAAAAGGCTTCAAATATCCGACCGGCACATCACAACAGCTGTTTCTGCCCTCACTTACGCCATACGATGTGAAGCCTTCAAGATGTCCTTATCAAAGACCCCGCTACAGACATTGACCGAACTCCGAGGAAACGCTGAATCCAAGGAGATATGGTCCTTCCCATGAAAAGGCAGAGAACAAGAAGCAACATGATCCCGTTTCCTGACCAGAGCATCCTCGGGGCAAGCGCAAGAATTAAGGGCCACCAGGGCCTCTCACCCGATTGAACACCTCCAAGGCAAATATCTTAATGGAGATCAAAGATATAAAAGAGTTGAAGTGACCTTCAAGAATGAAGTTGCCCCCTGTTACAAGAGATAGGAGCAAGTATTGTGAATTTCACTGAGATCATGGGCATACCACGGAGGATTGTCAAGCCTTACAGTGAGAAATTGAAGCCCTCATTAAAAGAGGGCTCTTAAGGAATTACATTGGTCATGATAAATGCCCGAGAAATGACCGTGACAATAAGAGCTTGGAGCCAGATGCAATGTTCAACCCACTGTCGGGACCATTAATATTATCATTGGAGGCATAGCATCTAGAGGAGACACAAGTAATGGGCGAAATCAATATGCCCGCCAACATGCTCATACCTCAAAGGAATCCCATGATAAACTCAAAGATATTACTTTTGTGGCTAATTTTGAAGTAAAGAGGATTCTGATTGATAATGGGAGTGCAACAAATATACTCTCACAGGAGGTTTTTGCTAAAATGGGGATCTCTCCCAAACAGCTCAAAGTAGTAAAAACTTCTCTATAGGAATTTGGTGGTGGAGTCATTATCCCAGAAGGTATCGTCGAGCTTCCACTTACATTAGGTTTTGACAATGTACAAGTGACGGAGATGACGCCCTTCCAAGTGGTTAACACTCCTATGGCTTACAACATCATCCTGGGAAGACCCCTACTGAACAAGATCTAAACTATTGTATCAACTTTCCATCTAGCCATGAAGTTCCCAATAGGTCAACGCATCGGAGTAGTTCGAAGAGACCGAACAGCTACTAGACAGTGCTATGTTACTAGCATATGAGGAATGAGTACAGACGTCATGCAACTTTCAGACCTCGAGCTCGAACCAAGGGGTAGACTTGCCCCGGTGGAGGAATTGGAAATGGTTGAGCTCGAGCATGGAAAAATGGTAATAATTGGTCTGAATCTCAAGGCCAGCCTCCAGGAGGAAGTCATCAATTGTCTGTCCCACAACATTGATATTTTTGCATGGAAGGTCGAGGATATGCCAGGGATAGATCCTGAAGTAGCAGTCCATAGACTCAACATAAGCCCAGGGGCCAAACTTGTTATGCAAAGGAAGAGGCAATTTGCACCAAAAAGACATGTGGTCATTCAGGAAGAAATCGACAAATTGGTGAGAGCGGGGTTCATAAGGGAAGTCGAATACCCCGATTGGCTCGCTAATGTTGTTCTTGTGAAGAAGGTCAATGGTAAATGGAGGGTATGCATTGATTTTACAGATCTCAACAAGGCATGCCTTAAAGATAGCTACCAGTTCCCTAGGATAGACAATCTTGTGGATAGCACATCTGGACATAAGTTGTACAGCTTCCTAGATGCATTCTCAGGGTATCATCAAATCCTCGTGGCCAAGGAAGACTATGAGAAGACTTCATTCATGGATGATTCAGCCATATACTGCTATGGGGTGATGCTGTTTGGGTTGGAAAATGCTGGGGCAACATATCAGTAGCTCATCAACAAAGTCTTCACTGATTTAATAGGGAATAACATTGAGGCCTATGTTGACGACATGGTGGTAAAGAGTAAGAAGGTAGAGCAGTACATATCCGACATGGAGGAGTTTTTCACCACCCAATGAAAATATCGGATGAAGCACAACCCAGAGAAGTGTGTATTCGGTGTAGCTTCGGGAAAATTTTTGGGCTCATGATCACTAACCGGGGGATTGAAGCAAACCCCGATAAGATCTAGGCCTTGGCAGCAATGAAATTATCCAGGACTAAGAAAGAGGTGTAAAAGTTGACAGGTAGGATAGCAGCCCTAAACAAGTTCATGTCCCGAGCAGCAGACATGTGCTTCCTTTTCTTCAAAGCTCTCAGAGACAACCAATCCTTTGAATGGAATGAGGAGTGTGATAAGGCTTTTCAAGAGCTTAAGTGGACATTTGTATCTCCTCCTATCCTCACTAAACCAGAGCCCAGGGATATTTTGTTTTTGTACTTAGTCGTGTCTCAAAACGCAGTGAGCGGCGTCTTGGTGAAAGAGGTTAACAGAGCGCAACAACCCATTTATTACATAAGTAAAGTCCTACTTGATACGGAGACCAGGTACACTTTGGTCGAGCGCTTTGCCTTTGCCCTGATAATGGCAGTACGAAAGCTTTGGCAATATTTTTAGTCTCATCCTATTGTGGTGCTCACTAATCAGCCTCTGAAACACATCCTTCAAAAGCCAGGCGTCTCAGGCAGGTTAGTAAGGTGGGCGATTGAACTTGGAGAGTTTGACATAGAGTTCAAACCCCGTTCATCCATCAAAGCCCAAGCCTTAGTGGATTTCATTGTAGAACTCACCCTAAGGCCTCGGGGGCCAGACGAGAGCTCGAGCACTATAACAGGTGTTTGACAAATTTTCATGGATGAAGCATCGAACTCCTTGGGCTTGGGTGTCGGGATCATCATCACAAGCCCAGACAAGCTCATAGACATTCAGTGTGCACTCAGGTTCGAATTCGAGGCAACCAATAATGAAGCAGAGTACGAGGCTGTCATCATAGCCATAGAACTTGCCATTAATCTCGAACTTGAAAGCATCAAAATTTTTAGTGATTCCCAGCTGGTGGTTGGCCAGATTGACGATACATTCGAGAAGAAAGACGAAAATATGAGCTTATATTGCTTAAAAGTTCATGATCTCTGATGAAAATTGAAGAGGTGTGAAATTGTGAAGATTGCCCGGGCTAACAACTATAAGGCAAATGTCTTATCAAGGCTGGGGTTCATGGGAGTAGATAGACTTGACAGGAGAATAGATGTTAGATTTGTGTTCGAGCCTAGCATCAATCCAACCGTTGGGGTCATGGACATTGACCATGAGCCATCATGGATGGACCCAATTGTGGATTTCATAACAAATGGCAATCTTT